GGCTCGCCTCCCCGCGCCCCCTTCTAGCCCAACCCTCGCCTGCGTCGCCCAGCCTGGGGCTCCCTTCCCCAGCCCCGCCGGGGGACGCAGCCCCGGGACTCACCTGCCGCCTCTGCTCCTCTGGGCCCTGGCTCTAACCCTGCCCCCTCCCCGGATCCTCACTCTCGCTCTCCGGCCCGGTCGGGGTGCGGGGTGTAGAGCCCAGCGCCGGGGCGAGAGTCCCCGGAGCCCTTGGCCCCCAAGGGTTGTAGGGAGAAGTACCCCCTTTGGCGCCCCGAGGCCCCTGGAGCGGGGCTGTCGGGAGGGTGCTGGCTACCTCTCGTCTACGCCCGGGAAAGGGTTAAGTCACCAGCCACCCCCTCCTGTCTCTAAGGTGCTTGAGCTGGGGTAGGAGATCTGCGCAGAAGGTTCCGAACCAAAAGGATGGGGAACGCACCGGGAGCCAGGGTGAAAACATCGAGGGGTGCAGAGGGGATGGAAGAAAAATCGGTTAGGCTCTCAGGAGCAAGACCCCTTTGCTGGGGACAGGGGCTGCGAATGTTCTCGGCGGAGCGGCGGGGTGGGCGACCCGCGACTCCAGTCTGACCGGCGCGCCCGCACACCTCCCCGCGAGAGGCAGACCCCGCCCAGGCTCGCAGACCGCGCGCGGGGGCAGCTCAACTCCTGGGGACGCGCCGCGTGCGGGGAGCGAACCTGCAGAGGCGGGATCCGCAGAGTTGAGGCTGCAGCGGCGGCAGGCGAGTCTTCTCCCCACACGCAAGAAGCGGCGGGGCTTCTGTCCCTTGATGAACTCTCCCTTTCCACTTGGGCAGCCGGAATCCCCGGCTGACCTCCACCCTCCCACCTCCACCGCTGGGTGAGACCGTGTATCTCGCAGAAAGGCTGCGTGGCCAGATTGGAATCTTTACCCGGTTGCAGGGGGGCCTCCTCGTGAAAGCTATAGAAGTGAGAAACCCGTGAAAGCTACAAGCCCCGAAGGAGGTCCGGTAGACAGACAGACTCCTGGTTGGAAAAAGAACAATGTCATTCTTTTGCAAGACTGTGCCCACCAGTGACTAAAAACGTCAAGTGATGTTTTTCGATTCCCAAATAGAGTCGGCACCTCTTTCTGCTTGTACAAAGGACTTGCTTGTGAGGAATTCCTTCGTGCTGGAATTGAAACACGTTTTTCCTCACTTCTGCTCTCAAGAGTAATATAATCGGACGTGCTTTCTAAAATGTGGATCTGGTCCTCTCACTCCCAGTCCCAAAACCCTTTCAGACTCTCTAGGTCACATATAATGTGCTTCCTGATCACTTCGATTCCTGGGTACTGTCACTCCCCCCCCCCCCCCCCCACACACACACACACCTTCCCCATCCTTTACCCAAGCTTACATGACCAAGACACTATCAGTGCAGTTCTTCAGAGAAAACAGCTCAACAGGGGGTGTGTATAAAACATTTATTTTAAGGAATTGGCTCACAGGACTGTGGGACTGGCAAATCCATCCGAAACCCCTAGGGCAACTCTGGAAACTCAGTTGAGTTGATACTTCAGGCTTGGATTT